CCCCAAACTCTGCAAGACACCTTTTTTTTAAGAGCAGATCCCAGCTCTGCCACCAGCAGAGGACACCTTGGCAAGGGGCCAGCCAGGGCAGCAAACAGTGACCAACGTTAATCCACCCCAGCGCAAAGTCCAAACCCAGCCTCGCCGGTGGCCTTCAGCTGCTGCCGGCCCGCTGGCAAGGCAGGGCCGTGGCGAGTTTAAACTGCTCCAGCTGCTTGCGTGGTGCTCTGGGGAGGCCTTTGGGACACCGTGGCCAGACCCAGGGCTCCCCTAGCTGAGCGGGAGCACGGCTGCACCCATATCCCTGGGGCACAGGCTGGGGCGAAGCTGCCCTGACCCCCCATCCCAGCCCGGCACTAACACAATCCTCCTCCCAGCGACACCAGGGAACAAGCACCGGCTTTGCCTCCACTTGAGAAATCCCTGGGGTAACCGAACAGCCCTGCGAACAGCATGCTGCTTGCCCTCACTTCAAAGAGCAGTGCTCCCTTGTACCTCCCTCACATGGTGCTGCCCCTGCATGTCGGCGTTAAGACCCCCCCCGCAAAGGAAGAGGCGAGTTTTACAAAATCCCAGGGGATATGGACCCCGCATCCCCATGGCAAGACCCGTACCAGGTGATGCTCCTCCACCCATGGCCCCAGCTGGGCAAGCAGGGTGCCTCGGGCTTGGCTCCGCATCTCATCCCCCCCCAGCCCAGGCCACGGCGAGCGGAGGGAGGACGTGACCCCCAAGTCACTGCCCGGGCCGCATGTCCAACAGATCTCGGTTTATTCTCGGAGTGCGCAGTGAGCGGGGTGAGGAAGCGGAGCTGCCGGGCGGGCAGCAGTGGTTATTGCTGCAGGCGCATCCTCCAGTGACGACGGGGGTCTGGGGGAAGCTAACTGCCTGCCTGCCTGCCTCTACAGGGCAAAGGACGGGCTGTCGCCCACTGTCAAGCTGGAGCCACCCCGTTACCCCAGAAGAAGGTGAGGGGAGTGCATAAGCACAGAGAAGTGCAAATATGTCAGCACTGGAGCCCACCCACACTGGGCAAAGGAGCCCAAGGGAAGAGCAGAGTGTAACAGTGTGGGAAGGGGAGGGAAATGGGGCAAAAACCCCAACTGTGTGCAAGAGAACTCCCCCCAAACCACCACTCCCTCCTCTCTGGGCGAAGGCATCGCCTCTTGGCAGCTGGTCCCCTCCCCAGCCCTGCTGCGGGCCATAAGCAGGGGCAGCGCATGCCCCAGGAGGTCCCAGGGATGGGAGGGGAGGCTAAGCCACTGCGATGGTGGTGACACTGCTGTGCCCACAATGAGGAGCTTCTGCTGCACTACAGGGTGGCACGTGTTCACGTGGCGGGGGAGCCCCCAAACATTCAGTGCTTAAGTTGCAGGGCTTGACCCAGTGGTGGGGCAAAGGCAGGGGCACAGAGTTGAAGGCCACGCAGAAAGAGCCAGTGGGCTCCATGCTTTGGTCGTGCTTAGTGGTGATGAGTGCAGTGCAAGGGCTTCGAGAAGAGTATGGCCCTTCCTCCTCCCAGAAAGCCACTCTGGCTCCCTGGGAACCCGCTGCCTCTGCTTGAGCAAGGCAGTACCTGCTGGTGCTCCCAGGCGTGCGCAGAGGCGGGCAATGTGTGCCAGTGGGGATGGGACAGCACGAGAGCAAGCGATACAAGTCCCATCTCTCTAGCCCCTGCAGCTCCTGCCTCTCCCTGTTCTGCAGCCGGCCCCCAGCCTGCTCCTTCACTCCCGACAAGCTCGGTGCAGGGATGCACAGGTACCCCACGCTGCTTGCTCTCCTCCTGTTCTGGGGTGGGGAGAGGTGGGGGGGAGTGGAAAGAAGCCCAGCCCAGAAGGGGAGAAGGGCATCCCCTGCCTGCCTTGACCCCCGGTCCACCGGAGAGGGTGGCGTGAGACTTGCTGGGAGGCAGGGCTGATGGATCAGCGTGGGAAGGAGCAAGGCAGGGAAGAGTATCCTGTGTCCACAGATCCAAGGGGAGGCACTTGGAGGGGGCCTGGCCCGCCGGGGTGTCCCA